GCTGCAGGCCAGGGGCCGCTCTTAGCGGTGTGGATGGCCACCCGGGAGGGTCCCCGGGAACGGGACATTATTACTCCCTCTCCTGGGACCCCTCCAGAAACACAAGGCTCAAGTCAGCACCTCCCCTCCTGTGTGGGGTCCCGGGTGGCCGCCAGCGAGGCTGAACAAGCCTGGCCGTCAGGCGGCCCAGGCGCGGGCGGGGGCGGGGGGCGGGGGCTCCCCACAGGTGCGGAGAAGAGTTGGGTACCATTCCTTTTTCTTCCACGCCCTCCGAAAAGCGCCAGACAGGAGTGAAGCAAGAGAAACACCACACAGAACCCAGGGAGAGAGGCTCCGACGTTCCCGGCCGCCTCTGTCGGCCGCAGAGCCCCCGCCCCGAGTTGCACGGGGAGCCGGAGGTCGGCCCTGACGGCCGCCGCGGAAGGGAGGACCCAGAATGGGCACCCAGCCCTCCCTGCTGCTCCCAGTCTTTCTGCCCCTCTGTCCCTGTGCCACCAGGGCCCCTCCCCCTGGGCTCCTTGCCCACCCGGCAGCTAAGGTGTCCACTCTGCTCTGGTGACTGGGCTGAAGCCGCAGAAGGAGTGGGGCAGCGCCGGGTCCCCGCAGCTGGGTCCCCGCAGCTGTGTCCCCGCCCGGCCACCTACCTCAAGCCGGCGCCCTTCCCTCGGCCTCCGGGCTCTCTCAGCACCGCCTCCTACAGCATCTCCCAGCCGTGGAGCCACCCCCGGGCCAGGTCGGGGAAGAACAGACTTGTCGAGGGAGAGCCGGAGAGCCGGGAAGAAGGAAAAAGCCCTCGGGGGAGAAGGCACGGAAGGGGGGACCCGGGCAGGCAGCAGCCAGTCCCGCCCGGCACCTCGGTCTCCGCCGCTCCAAGCTCTGCCTCTCTGGCCAGAAGCGGAAACGGGGTTTCTCGAAAGTAAAGGAAGAGCCGAAGAAAGCAGGACAGACGCGTAAAGAGCAAAGCCCAGCCAGATGTGAGCGCCCGGAGCCTCCAGTACTCCCAGCGCATTTTATCCAAACAGCAGCCGCCAAGGATTAACTGTGTGTGTGCCCGGGGGGAAGGGAAAGCCGCGCTGCCCTCCTCCCGGACCCCTGGCCCCAGGGAGCCGGCCCGGGCTGGGACTGGGGTGGCCTCTCCGGGTGTCTGGAAGTCTGCCCAGGTGTGGGGGCGGCTGGCAGCCCCAAGTTGCCTGGTGGCAGGGGGTCAGGATTCAAGGAGCTCGGGGCACCTATAGCCGGCTGGGATGGATCAAGTCCCCAGATGGTGGCTGACCGGAGATGCACCTTCGGTCAGGGCCGCGACCTGGGGTCCAGGGACCCCAGGCAGGTCTGGGGAGCTCTGCGAACTCCCAAAGCAGAACGCAGAATTGCACGTGTGCATGTGTGCCTGTGCATGCGCCTTTGGGACAGCCACGGGCTGCTGCTTCGGCCAGACCCGCAGGCTGGGCCCCCCCCGAGCTGGGGGAGCAGGTTTCTCGGTGGGAGTGGGGGCGGGGCCGAGGAGCACTGGGGCGTCTCTCAGTCTCATTCCTCGATGGGAGCATCGGACGTCTTGTCCCTCTTACGCGTGCGTCCTTTCTCAGCACGTCCCGTGGCCCGACCTCGCGGCCCTGGAGATGCCCCCGGGGTTTCCGGGAATTGCGCCGCCCCCCCGCCGCGCCGGGCTGAGCCCTAAACTCTGAGCCAGGACGGCTTGTTCTGGGATCGTATCATGTCACTAGGAGAGAGAGGATCCGGGCGAGGATCGAAGCTGTGCTGTGATAGCGGTTCTCTTTCTTTTCTCCTTTCTAAACCCCCGCTCCCACGTCTTCTCCAGCCTCCTCTGATGTCATACCTGCCCTTTCTGTTTCCTCACCACCCTACGCAGGGCCCTCCTTCTGGCTACACCTGGATGAGGGACGTGTAACCCAGGAGGCCGGGATGCTTGGGGCAAAGCGGAGAGCCTGCAGCTCCCTGCCCTGCCCTGGAATACCCTTCCCCGCCTCTGCTCCCTGCAGGAAATCTGAAGGGGGTGGGCACGCCTGACACCCACCAGGCACCCCTTCTTGCCAGGGCAGGCGGAGATCATGGGACTGGGAGAAGGGGTGGGGCTCTGGGCCGGTGGAGCCAGTGAGAGCCCAGGGCCGCGCCACAGAGACCCCGCAGCTGTCCCCTCCGCTCACGGGAGCGAAGGGCAACGTGCTCCCGTCCTGAGTGGCCTGGCAAGCTCGCGGGCTCTCTGGCAAGATGAGGAAACCCTGAGCCCATCAGAGACGCTGTTGCAGCTGGCGTTAGAAGACTCGAGACTTGCTCATGGTCTCTGGCACGTGTCTGGGGCTTGGCCAAGCTTCTGTCCCTGGTTGATTATTGACACAGGAAAACCCAGAGATAAGCCCATCTTCGTCCCACGTGTGACAAGAGGAGCTTTCCCATGAACAAGACCCAGGCCCGGCCCAGGGACGGACCTTCACCCAGTAGCCCATCCTCAAGTAGCCTTGACAGCGAGGGGGACCAGGGGACAGACGCCAGAAGAGAAGTGGGACCTTTGCCCAGGGCGTTTGAGGGTCCTCCGCCAGACACTCGCATTTCCTGCGTGGGGACCAGAAAGGGCCACTCTCTCAGAGTCCGAGTCACATCGCTGTGTCGAGTCTGTGCCAAGTGTAGGGGCACACTAGGTTGTCAGAGCTTTTTAGACTTGGGGGGTGTGGGGGCCGGGGCATCTCACGGCCTCAGTGGAAGACGAGTTGTCTTGGGCCCCACGTGAAATACATTGTAACATGTAAGCACACAAAAAAAAAACCTCATAATGTTTTAAGTGAATTTACGATTTTGTGTCGGGCCGCGTTCATAGCCACCCTGGGCCGTGTGCGACCCGCGGGCTGCAGGTTGGGCCCCCAGGGGAGGTTACGAAACTGTAAACACGCTGTTGATGAGAGGCTGACGGAGCACATGCAAAGCACTGGCATGTCCATTGTACTTGTCATCGCTGTAGGTATGTCCTTCTTCCCTCCCTCTGCCTGAGTTGAGCCCCCACATCTCCCGGGAGATTAGAAAAGGGATCACTCACTTTGCCGGAGGCAGAACCCGCGGATGGGCATTAAATGTGGCCGCGAGAGCCAGGGCCTCCCGGGGCGTTCGTGTGAGACGGAGGCTCCGGGGCGTGGGAAGCCTGGGAGCGCGGGGCGTGGGGCCTGAGGGCACCTTGGGGGGGCGCCCTCGTGGCCCACGTCTCAGGCCAACAGGCAAACGGACAGAGAGTCACGAGGCCAGGCTCCCAAAGAATGCACGTCAGCCTTCCACCAGAGAAATGCAATGTGCTGCCCAAACGCAGAGTTGGCCTGCTCCCTCGTGCCCTTTGTCATCAGCTTCATTTACTGCCTTAAAATGTTGAGTAGGAAAGCCGGGAAATTTCGCAAGCAGAGGCGGCCTTGCGGACGACTCGGTTCTCTCTCAGGGCTGGCCGCAGCGCCGCCAAGCGCCCGGGGCGAGTGTTCCCAGTTCAGCAGACATCTTCCCTTGGACCGAGTCCCGCCCAGCAGCAGGACAGGAGCCATGGCAAAAAACAACCAAAACAAACAAACAACAGCAGTGACACATCAGAACCCCAGGCCAGCGCGGGACCTGGGGCCCGTTTCATCAGCCGTGGTTGGGTCAGAGGCCAGGGCCGACCAGCACGATGGCGCCCCCCTCCCCCACGCGCTCCCTCGCTCTCAGGCTCCCAAAGCGCGAAGGCCACACCCGTCCTGGAATTCCCTAGCTCACACCTCCCACACCAGAGCTCCCAGCCAAACCCCAAAGTCGATTCCCAAGGAAGGGGCGGCTCGTGGGACAAAAAGCCCCGAGACCCGGCGGGGTAAGAATATTCCTGGGGATCTCAGGAGGAACACAGCCCGTGCCCCCCCGGTTTGCCAGTGCCTTCTCTCTCCCTGGGCATGTCTGTGTTCTCATTATTGCAGAAAACTACGTGCCCTTGGTCCGAGTCTGCGAGTCACTCAGTTCCAGATAAGCAGAGCCCGTCATTAGCGGCCCTGTCATTTTCCCCGCTGTGACCTAACGGCCCGCCTCTCCCAGCTATTTTGGGCCGGGCTGCCCAATCGTCCCACGAGGGCAGAGGCCGTTATGGCAAACTTCTGAATTCCTTCCCGAAGGGCAGCCCAGGCAGGCGGCAACGGTGGGGTCCCGCTGCCAAGGGGTGGGGGTGGGGCAGCCTCCGCGGAGCTGCAGAGAAGGAGCTGGGATGGAAACTTGGCGGGCGGACCGGCCTCCCTGGCCGCTGGCCCACGCTCGCTGCTCCTGGAGAGCGGTGCCCGTCGTCTCGAAGGTTTGGGGCAGGTGGGGACGGCGACCGGCGGCGGCAGAGATGGAACCTTCCGCGCCCTGCTCCCGGCACCCGCAGGAGACCCCAGTCTAAGGAGCACAAGCCTTTCCAAGGAGTCCCCGCTGAGCGCCAGCTGCAACGACGGGCGGCCACGGGTGAGAAGCCATATTTGCAGTCTCACTTTTACCATTGACATGCTTCCTGACCCTAATCAAGCCATAGGATGCCCCATGCCTCAGTCTCTCCCTTTCTCAACGCCGGTGTCCCTATTCGGGGAATTCCTTTTTAGGACTTGGAGTTAGACAGAGATAGGCAGAGACAGACCGGTTAGGCAACGTTTTACTTGATAAGTAAAAGGGGAGGGCCCCCTGGTGGACGGGGCGATTCTAAGCACTCGGCTGTGCAGTCAATGAGTCAATGAGTAAGCAGGTGAATTCAAGCAAAGCACTTTTAGTCTTTTATGCAGAGCCACAGACAAGAGGAGAGAATTCCTGGGAGAAGACCCTGGCGAGGCCTCCCAGGATGCAAAGAAGAGTCAGGGAATGAGGGTGGGAGGGAAGCCTACGAGCCCACGACCGCTGAGCCGCTGTTGACAGTAGCAGCACACTGGGAAGGCACCGCGGGGCCGGAAGCCTGCTCCCGGGGGCTGCAACACCCTTTGACACGGTCCTCTTTCTTCCAGGACTGTATCCTACAGATAAGCTCACAACTGTGCGCAAATGGTAAGTTCAGGCTGTGTCCTGAGTCATTGCCGTAACGTGGAAGGGTGGCAGACACCCTGGAAGGACATCGCAGGGCCTGGGAAGCCAAATGGCAGTCCCTCCGCACAGGGGGACACGATGCCACCCTCCAGAGAACAGAGAAGCCACCTAGAAAACGAGATAGGACAAGCTATACCGTGAGCTGAAAAATGACAAACATTATTTAAACACACGTTCTAAAAAAAGACTTAAGTACATGGAAAGACAAAGTATGTTCTTGGGTAGAAGAGTCAACACCATAAAAAACCTCAGTTCTTTCCCAACCTCTCTACAGATTGAAAACGATTCCATTCAAAATCCCAAAAGGCCTGGGCGGGGCAGGGGGGGGCGGGGGGAGGTCATGGGGCGGGAGGGGCGAGTTGGCCTACAGCCTGTGAAGGTCTATCATAAAGAGGTTCTAATGAGGACAGTGGTATTGGAGCAGGTATGAAATATTATACCAGTACAAGTTAACCAAAAGCCCCCAAATGGAGGCACGTGTCTGGAAACTTAAGTTACTGTTAAACTGGCATTGCACACGTATCAATAGGGAAGGGATGGGTTATTCTTTGAAAACAGCACTGAGATGTTCAGCATGTGCAGAGGAAGAAATGTGTATGACCAGACAATGTAAGAAAGGTACACGCTGCTCAGTAATCAGGCGATGAGGAGGCGATTAGGCTCAGGTTAGTAAAGTTAATACACCTGATAATATCTGTGGGGAACAGGATCTCTCATCCCCGGCATATAGTTTTATTTCCTTTTATGCCTAAAAGTTATTGTAGGCATATACATGGTTTAGGGATACACGCCCATTTGCTAACATCATAAAATAAGGCACGAGAATGATTAACGCAACATCCAGGACTGTGGTTACCTCTCGGGGTGAAAGGGAGTTGGGAGCCAGGAAGGAGCCCCTAGAGAGCCTTCAAATCAAAGGGTTAATGTTTTGTTTTCTAAGCTGGAAACATGTAAAGATATAGATATCTTCGTAGGTGCAACTTTGAATGATGGAAAAGAATGATGCTGCTGTATGGTATATAGTCGGGGTGTAGTTCAGCAGGATGGGAAACAATGAATTCAAGAAAGGTTTGTCCTCCTCTACCCGCCCCCACCAAAGGCAGAACTGTGTGTTTAGCACATTTCCATTTGGTTTTTAAAAGGGTATTTTAATGTATGTGTTTATGATATGTTTGTGTGCCACAAAATATCTAAGAATAACCACAAGGAACTAGTAACAGTGCTTGCCTCTGAGGAGGGAATGCAGAACAGGGAGGGAGGGAGGGTTATTTCTCACTGTGCGTCATTTATATAATTTGAGTTTTTTTGTTCATCTGCTACTTTAACAAAAGACTACTGAGAGACCCAGAGATGTATGTCTGCACAGCCAGAAGGCTCCTGTGTGAGGCCCACTACTACCAGTCTCCCAGGGTTTCTTTCCTTTTGTTTAGGTTGTATTCATTTATCCTTAGAGAGAGAGGAAGGAAGAGAGTGAAACATCAACGTGTGGTTGCCTCTCTAGTGCCCCCTAATGGGGATGTGGCTGGCAACCCAGGCACGTGCCCTGACTGGGAATCGAACAGCAACCCTTTGGTTTGCAGGCCGGCCCTCAATCCACGGAGCCATGCCAGCCAGGGCCAGGATTTCTAACAGGAGCATCATTGCAGTACTTGCGGGGGTGAGAGGCAGACATGCCTTTTACCATATTCCATTAAAATAGCTTGGGCACTGGGGAAACGGGATGAACCACAGACCCTTATTTGGGAAGGGCTTTGTTGATTGCAAGTCAGGGGAACCGCCGCTCCAACCCCCGACCCCCCGCCACGCGGCTCCAGCGGATAGACCTGTGCCCTGATCTTGGCTTTGGAAACTGATCCGTATTCAGACAAGGGTGCTTGGAAGAGCCAAGGGGGAAGGGGCCCGGGCAAGGGGGTCCCATAATTTTAGCTGGAGGAATGATAACATCCCTCCTGAGTAGCCTTCACCTCCGCCCCCTCCCGTTTTCTGCTCCGCTGACGTTCCTGATTAACGCCGGGGAAGAGGGCCTGTAGATGGGCTGCGCTTAGGTCCCTCCCGCCTGCGCCGGACCCGCTCGCTGAGCAACAAAAACTACAACTCCCAGCAGCCCCTCCCGCGCCCGGCGCGCAGCCGCAGAACAGAGGCTGCCGGGAGCGTGCTGCCGGGAGGCTGGGTGAGCGGGCCGGGCGGAAGTCGGCGGCCGCTGGGACCCGGCCCCGTCCGCAGCGAGGCGCCAGCCGTCCGCGGGCCCCGGAGCCAGCCCGCACCGGGTGAGTGACGGCCGCGCTCGCCTGCCGGGCCCCGCGCCCTGCTCCCGCTCGCTGCCTCCCTGTGTGACCGATGGGGCCCCAGACCCGCAGGTCGGCTCTCCCCTCCAACTGCGGTGGGCCGCTCCCCTCTGATTCAGAGGAACTGTCCCCTTCTTCCGCCTAGTGGCTGACACGACCCCCCTCTGACTTGGGGACTCCCGCCCCCTCTGACCGTGATGGACTCGTGCGGGACACCTAACCCTGAGGACAGCCCTCTCCGCCCCCTCTGATTTCAGTACCTGTCCCCTGACCTGCGCGGGGTGTGGCGCCCCTCCTGCCCCGTTAGGGTGGCCTCCCCTATCTGACTGTTACTTTGTGGCACCTGCAGCAGCTAGCCTTCCTCCCCTGTTCCTCAGCACAGCCCACTTCCCTTCCTTTTGCACCCAAACTTGCCTCCTCTGCCCTCCCCTCCACCTGGTCCAGTCCTTCCATCCGTGAGGACCAGCACCTCCTTGCTCGCCCTGCTCCTGGGAGCCTTTCCCTCGGCCTCTGTGTCCCTTGGCTTGCGGGCCCTTGCACCTGCAGGCACTGCCCTTTCTCCCAACCATCCCAGGGTCCCGCCAGAGAGCAATGTCCCTTTGAACACCAGCCCCGTTTCTCGTTCCTGCCTGGTAGCATGAGCTTGGCAGCTTTCCTGCCGTGTTTTCAACGAAGCCCACGTTTGGGAACACGCCTGCTGGTGTGCATTGAGGCTCGCTGGCTCTTCGGGGTAAAGGGCAGCACCTGCCTGGAGCGCAGCCACTCAGCAGGGCCTGTGGAAAGGGAGCAGCGCCGAGGGTCTCTGCAGCCTGCCGTTCCACTCCCTTTGGAGGTCTTCCCGGCTGGGCTGCAGACCCGCCGCCAGCCCCCAGCCGCACCCGACGAGCCTCTCTCGAAGGAAAAGCGGGCCGAGCCTGAGGCCAAGGTGGGGCTTCTTCCAGAGCAGCTGGTGGCCTCCCGGGGCCCCTCCCTGCTGACCTCAATGAGCCTTCTATTCAGGCCCTGCCCTCCCTGCTGAAAGGCCTGCTCCCCTCCGGACTTCCTAGAGGAGTCCCCTCTAGGGCAGCCCAGCGCGTCCCCCGGGGGAGCACGAGGTGAAGCGTGGCTGGTTCGGGGGCTGCCGGAGCCCCCACGGTGGCCTGCAGACAGGGTCTCTGTCCTCTCACTCTGGTCCTTGTCCGCATGAGCCCGACCCACAGGCGGTGTTCTGCTCGTCACAGGGTGGTGCAGGAAACTATTCCGCGTGTACAGGTACCACTTTGTGTCCCCATGTGACCCCTACTCGAGGTGTAAATCTGATCGTCTGATGCCTCCCATGTGCTACAAGTCTCCTTTCTTCCCCCTAAAGCTGCGCCCCAAATGTACAGCAGGTCACGCCCTGTTTTCGTAGCCGCACGGTCGATGTGTCGGTGTACGCCGTTGGTACTGGAGGAGGCTTTTGGCTGCCAGCCCAGCTGCACCCCTAACCCTCCGGGTCTCCGAGCCCCAGCGGAGCGAGAAGAGACCTGGGCGCAGTGGGAGCAGGCCTTGCTCCAGGGGTGCGCGCGCGCCCGCTCACCGGAGGCGGCCTTTGGGGTGAGCGTGTGGGTCCCCACAAATGCACTTGGCCCCCTTCCTCCGAGTCTCAGGCCCCCCTGGTTTGCAGCGTGGCGGTCGTTGTGGTGACCGTGTCGGGCAGGCTGCAGACGCTGTAGTGTTTCTCTTTCAAAACCAGAATATCTCAGACCTGGAACGTGGTGCGGGCTCTGAAACAGGGCAGTCTTATGACAAGGACGGTGTCGCCCTTTTGCGCAGACTTGTGGCATGGTGTCCCCAGTACCCAGCTGGGAGGGGGGGTGATTATTCTTTTCCCTTCATTAACAGTCTCCGCTGTGGAGGTTCCTGGTAAGCTCTTAGTAAACGCCCACGTTAAGGCGACTTAAAACTTTCGTAATGATTACTTAGGGCTTTTACATTGATTTAGACCAAGGCAGTCACTAAGGAAAAATCTTGAAACGAGAGAAATCTGTTTGGGAAGGTGTTCGCTTTCTCTTTCATTGAGCCCCACTCACCCATCCGTGGCGAGCGCCCTCCGTGAGGGGGCTCACATCTCTGGGGCCCCAAGCAGGGCAACGGGCCGCCAGAGCCAGTGGGCGAGGCCGGGCGGGGCAGGCTGGGCGTGAGTGACCTCGCGGCAGTGAGTGCGAGGAGGGAGCCTGTGCCGCGAGTCCCCAGAAGGCGAGCTCGGCGGTGCGTCCGCTGTCCACAGGGGCCGTGTCGGCCGGGCTGGCAGTGGGATCATTGAGCCCCTTGCACCCGGCTCCACAAAACAAGCCCAGCGATGCATGGTGGCCTTTGGGACGGTGCTTTCAGCGGACAGGGCCACTTGTTTGCGGCAGGTCCTCTCAGCGTAGCACTGACGACACAGACTAGGCGTGCAGGGCCCTGCCGCGGCGCAGTGGGTGCCGCCGAAACCGCAGCCGGCAGCCCGCCCCGCGCACGGTGCTGCGCTGCGAGCGCTCCAGGCCCCTGGGGGAGGCAGAGGCTCTCCCCGTCCCAATCCCGGAACCTGCGAATACAGTACATAGTCAGGGGGGCTGCGGGAGCAGCCGGAATTCAGGGTGCCACTCAGTGGGCCTCTGCATCGCCCGGGACGCCCAGTGTGACCACGGGAGCCTCACAGGGGAAGAGGGAGGCAGAGGGGCAGCAGAGGGACTGAGGGCGGGAGGCGCAGAGAGAGGCCACACTGCTGGCCTGGAGGTGGAGGAGGGGCCCCAGGCCCAGGGACGCGGGCGGCTGCCAGAAGCAGGAAGCAGCAAGGACATGCATCCTCCCCTTGGGCCTTGGAAAGAGCCCGCGCCTGCTTTTAGCCCAGGGAGACCCACGTCCGACTTCCCAGGGCTTGCAAGGGGACTGTGCTTTCAAGCTCCTAAGGTGCGGTGATG